TTGTATTTTGTCGGATCAGGTTAAGGGAAAGTGATAATGAAGGGGCCTAAAGTGGGCAGATTATTTACATTACAACTTTTCATCGCTCGGACTTTGGCATTAGCTTCTGCAGTTGTTGAAAATAAAGCCGGTATCTGGCATAGAAGATTAGGGCATCCAAACAATGTTGTTTGGAATCATTTGTTACTAAGTGGTGTTTTTAGTCATACAGATAAAAGCTTATTAGTGGATTGTTCTTTTGTAAACTTAGCAAAAGTAAAATATTATCTTTTCCTATTTTGGGCAGTCGTGATAATAAAGGTTTTGTATTATTCATAGTATTTTTTGGGGAATTACACCGGTTATTTCACATGCTCGGTATAAATATTTTGTGACATTTATTGACGATTACAGCTGATTCACATGAATCTATTTTTTGCATTTCAAAGCAGAAGTGTTTATCGTGTTTCAAACCTCTGTGACCTATACTGATACTCAGTTCTTCACTTGAATTTTGTGACATTTATTGACGATTACAGTCGATTCACATGAATCTATTTTTTGCATTCCAAAGCAGAATTGTTTACCGTATTTAAAACATTTGTGACCCATATTGACACTTAATTCTCCATTTGTATTAAACTCTTACAGACTAAAAATGGTGGTGAATACATGTCTCATGAGTTTCAAACATTTTTTCATAGTAAGAGCAATGTCTCACAAAATTCATGTCCTTATACACCTCAGCAAAATGCAGTCACAGAATAAAAAAAACGTCATTTGTTGGATATGGTACGCGCATTGTTGTTAGAATCTTTTGTTCCAGCTAAATTTTGGGCAGAAGTTTTATCTACTGCAGTATATCTGATTAATCGCTTACCGTCTCAACAATTGAAGTGTGATTCTCCCTATTATCGAATTTTTGGTAAGCATCCTAATTACACATGCTACACACTTTCGGATGAGCTTGTTTTGTTCATTTACTTGTCCATGAACGACATAAGTTTGGAGTGCAGTCAGTTCGATGTGACTTTATGGGTTACAATCCTAATCATAAAAGTTGTGTTATGATTCGATTAATAATCGATTACGTATCTCTCGGGATATGATTTTCTTTGAACATGAATACTATTTTCAGCATCATCTTTCGACATGTGACACAGTTAGACTTCCTCACTTTGATGATTGTTCTTTTGATAAACGATTCAAGTCTGACCTTGTCTACGCGTGACGTCTAGCCCATTCATCTTCAGTCCTTCCCGACCCTGCTCCTGAAAATGCTCTAATGATTCTCCGAGGATAAACTCAACACATTCGTCCTCCGAATATATATGTTTATTCTGCAATTTTAACTAATACTATTATTCCTACATCTTATTTTCAGGCTGCTAAACAGAATTGTTGAATAAAAGTTATGCAAGAGGAACTTCAGACACTTCAAGACAATCACATTTGGGATGTTGTTTCATGTCATGCAGGCGTTAAACGTGTTGGTTGTAAATGAGTTTATTCTCTTAAGCTACGATCTAATGGCTCTCTTGACAAATATAAGGCAAGATTGGTAGCTCTGGGCAATCGACATGAATATGGGATTAATTATGAGGATACATTTGCACCTGTGGCAAAGCGGCTAAAATGACAAATGTCCGACTTATTCTATCTATTGTTGCATCTAAAAGCTAGTCCTTACGACAGATGGATGTTAAGAATGCATTTTTGCATGGATACCTCAAAGAACATATCTATATGACTCATCTAGGCTTGTTTTCTACACCCTTATATGATGTTTCTAAGCTCAAACGATCTCTATACGGTTTGAAACAAGCTCCACGAGTCTGGTCTGAAAAGTTTCGCAATACTATTCTTAGCTTATCTTTTATTAAAATTTAGTATGATTCTTCATTATTTCTTTATAAGACTAAAAATAAAATTGTGTTGTTATTAATCTATGTTGATGATATTATCATCACAGAAACTAATACTCAACTGATGTCTCAGTTACAGAAGCGTCTTCAGGGTTCTTTTCATAAGAAGGATTTGGGATCTAACTTATTTCTTAGGTCTTGAGGTTCACTCTCCTCCCACGGGTATTTTTCTTCACCAACATAACTATACTAAAGAACTCATTGTTTTGGTTGGGCTCCAAGAGGGTTGTCATGTTGATACTCATTTGGAAGTGAATGTTAGATACCAACGGAATGATGGTGACTTCCTCTCTGATCCATCTTTGTATCGACAACTTGTTGGGAGTCTCAATTATCTAACCATCTCCTGATATTGCATTTGTTGTGCAACAAATTAGTCAATTTAAGCAGGCACCGACATATCTTCATTCAACGTATTGTTAGGTATTTGAAAGGTGTTTTACATCGTGGCTTGTTCTTTTCAACAGAGTTAACTACTCTCTTAACAACTTATAGTAATGTTGATTGGGTTGGTTGTTTTGATACACATCTATTTATTACTGGCTAGCATATGTCTTCCGGCAACTCTTTAATTTCTTGGAAGAGTAAGAAAAATGATTGAGTGTCTAAGTCATCTACTAAGTCTGAATATCGTGTTAGGCCCTCGGCTTATTCTGAGATCATTTGGCTTCTAGGTTTGTTTCTGAGCTTGGTTTTCCTCAAATTGAGTCAACTTCTCTTTATACATATAATACTAGTGTTATCCAGATTATTGTTAATCTTATCTTTAATGAGCGCACGAAACACATTGAAGTGGATTATCATTCTACTCGAGAAGCCTATGATAATGGTGTTATTTCTCTTCCTCATATCTCATCTAAACTTCAAACAGTCAACATATTTACTAAGGCACTCTCTCAACAACGTCATCAGTTCTTCGTTGACAAATTGATGTTTCTTGATCAGTCAACATCAATTTATGGGGGGTAAATAAAATCGGGTAGAATTAAGATCTTCCTTCTTTGCATTAATGCATTAAATTCCTTACTTTAATTGCATAGATTATTTCTTTTTGTTGAATATTTAGATTAGAAATGTGTATTATTAAGCTACCTAAAATAGATTGCACACTTTACCATGTACCTAAAATAGAATGTATACACAATTATTTATTGGAATGAAAGCAAAAAAATTGCATTCAGTCTATTTACTCAAAACATTGACAAATATCAGTGGAATAAGATAAATAAAAAATAAATTAATTAAAAAGTAAAATCTCAAATAAATATATTTCATAAACATTTTATTGTTTAAGTATGTTGATAGTGGTACATATTCTAATGAATTGAAGACAGGATCAAGAACAAAAAATAATACTTAATCATTAAAGATTGAAGTGAGAATTCATATATCTAAGTTATGATAATACTATTATTTCTTCTAATCCAAATACATAGTTGATTTTGATATTTATTGAATCAAATATTATTGCAAATTAAATCATCATTTTTTCATTATATAAATTGATCATGTTGAAGTGAATGATATAAATTTACTTCTATATTTCAATTACATGCGTTATGCTATATGAAACTAACTATAAAAATATATTCAATGGTAGTTGGAATGTAAATAAAATAATTTATATAGAACGGTTGTATGTACATATTGATTGATGGAATTTACTTTCTTATATTACTTACCAAGGATGCTAATATACCCACACCCATTGATGATTTTCCTTTAATCGAACAATAGTAAAAAATAAAACCTAAACTCCATGGTGTCGACAATAGTATACATATTTTATACCCCGTTGAATAGATAAGGGGTGTATCGACAAAAAATGAGAGATCGTTTTTATATGGTGCTCATAAGATGGATGCAAGTGATTTAGAATAAATAATATAACATTCTACGTAATTAAATGTTTTTTAAACTTCTTAAATGATCATTTTTAGTATTTAAATTGTTAAATAATTATATATTGATTCATTATATTTGACAAACACACACGTTATTTATATTTATTTTAGGATACTATAATTTTAAAGATACGAGTATTCATTAAGTTGATGACAAATCATAATGAATTACACCAACATTTCAAATTTGAGCATTGGACTAGAAAATATGTGATAAAAAGACAAGTTAATTATAGAAGACAAATTCAAACAAGAAAAAACAAATGTATGTTCAATTGTTTTAGTTCAACTTATTTTAAACTTTAGTCGTTATTGGTTCATTTAATTATTTGCATCATTAATGATAGGGATAGAAATTGAAACTTAAATTGAATTTATCGTTCGACCATATATTCCAACCTTGAAAATTTTAAATGCCTGAACTGGGTCATGCATAAAAAGTCAAAGATGAGAATGGGATCATAATTGAATTATTCCAAATATCTAGCTACATACTCTCCGTACTCTTTCCTCGAGCAATTAAATTCAAAGAGCAGCTCTCTCTAGAGCTCTTTCTTTCCTTCTTTTTCACTCTCTATCAAATTTCTCCCTCTTTGCTCTAAGTGTTGTTGTTTGAGTGTCGTCACCCCCACGAACAAATTAGTATCCAACAAGAGTACTTGATTTTGGCATATGCTGGATTTCTAAAAAATATAGTTTAGCGATAGTAGTAAATGGCCCTAACTCATAGTCTTAGTCCATTAGCATGAAAATTAAATTTGATCATTAGACTATTATGCCTCACCCTAATTCCCTTTGCTCCACACTCCTAACACCACGTGTATTTCAACAGTAGTGAGGGTAGCAAAACTATTTGGTTTCTTTCAAATTTAAGCACCAACCTATTGCAAGTAATCTTAGCTAACCTTATATAAACATGCCGAGTAAAGATAAATCAGCTTCATGAGGACAACAGGGACAAACACTCCACCCTGCACCTGGTAAAATTCAAATTATTTCCCAGCAACAGGATTTCAATCTAACCTATTGCCTAATCGTAAGAACCCTGCCAATTTGTCGGCAAGGAAAAAAATATATATATCATCGCTTTCGAAACGCCAAACAAAGGTCATTTTGCACCGACGATCGATGCCAAAAGGGACAAACCATTATACGGAAATCTCGTTAGAGAATAAACATAATTATTAAAAACCTGTAACAAAATACGAACGCCGGAAGTCATCCTTAATGGCTTCGACCACTCGACCCCGATCTGGAATCCCCAAGCCGTCGTCAACAACATTGGCGAGCTCTTCCTGCACCGAAGTGGGCCGAAAGAAAGACGCGAAGATACCCAGTAGCTCGGAGCCGTACCACGCAACGCGAAGCACCGCGTTCTCCGAATTGGAGCGTCCATCGCCGGGCGAAGAGCCAGGATTCCCACGCTGGCAACGGAAAAAGCCGTTCGCCGGAAACGGTAACTTTCGCCGGCGTGCGCCGCTCAGATACAGATAAGAGGGCTTGTGGAGAAGAATAGTTGAGGAGCAGAGGGAGGAAGCCATTGTCGCATATTGATAGCTTCCCTTGTGGTTGGGACTTGTCGAGGTGAAGGTGATGCAGGGATGCGAAAGTATCAAGCGCGCAAATTTTATATTTATAAAATATTTATTTTTCTTAATATATGATTCATATATTCATAAGTATACGTGACATCATTAAAATTAATAAACTTTTATTAAAGGAAAATAATTGAAATTTTTTAATGGATTTTAGTATTTAAATGAGAATTAAAAAATGAATGCAAGAGTGATAGTTTTGGCAAGAACAAAAATTCATTTGAAATCAAAATATAAATTCTTATTAAATATGTACTACTTATTGTAGCAAATTTAATTAGGAATAATTTGAATTCATACGCCATTTGAACCTATGATCGAATCCTTTTGAACCAAATTTGAATAAGGTATCAATTTGGTTTGGATCTATCGAATCCTTTTGAACCAAATTTGAATAAGGTATCAATTTGGTTTAGATCTTGTGTCTGCCTAAATTTAACAGAGAAAAATTAGAGTGTGCAATGGAATTGAATTGAGAACGGTGCTACTCTCTTTGGAGAAGTTGGGCAAGCAATCAAATGAATCAAAGCTCACTTGAGTTCGGATTGACTAGACTTATGGGGGAAAAAGTGATCACATTGGTAACTACTTTGGGAGTGGTGTTAACAAGACGGTTGGGCAAGCAATCAAATGAATCAAAGCTCACTTGCGTTCGGATTGACTAGACTTATGGGGGAAGAAGTGATCACATTGGTAACTACTTTGGGGGTGGTGTTAACAAGACAAGCAGCGCACAAATATGAAAGATGTGCGCAATGGGGGACGTGTGAAAAAAGAAAAATGATTTGGGACAAGAGCTTGTGGTGGAGGCCATCAATGCGAGCAAAATATGAAGAGAAGAGAGGTTGGTGTCATGGTCATGCCCAAAGTTCAATCTCAGTTCAAATCTTAATCAAACAAGGTTTTAACCAATTTGACAAAGTTTAAGATTGAAACCTAGCCAGTTCTTATTTGAATGAAAATAAAACCAAGTCCGAACATAAATTCAAGCAAGGTTCAAGTTCAAATATGTTCCACCTATTCCGTATACTTTGACTCAAAAACCTGATATATGAAAATTAGGTGTTGATACGTAAAAAGATATATATTTTATAGCATGTTGGATAAAAAGGTTATCATTTAAATGATTTTTGAACTTAAAATAGAATAACATTAAACATTTTGTGAGAGAGAGATTTTTTTTTTCTTATCCTTTCCAAGATAGGAGGCCACTAATAGGAGATTTTGCTAGAATCAGGCTACCTTTCACTCCTTTTCCATATTCTTCCTCCCATGAGAGTTGGGTTACACAGCACATAAATGAGAAACATCTATTTTACCAGGTTGCATGCCTACAAGTATAATATGTTAGAAGCATTTGCATACATTCCACCCAATTCATATGTTTTTACATATCTAACAACAAAAACCTTGATTTATACATTTGCACCCAATTTTTTCAGGTGACATAAAAAATACTTTGGAGTATTTTAACTTTTAAAATAGTGGTATTGGAAAGAAGTTGCCAAGTTGGTAAATGCTAAGACTAGTTGTCAAGTGGTGAATATTGTGTCAATAAGGGATATTTGTGGTAGGTGCTTAGAAAAATAATCAATAGATCACGTCAAAAAAAGGGATATCATATGTTGATAGATTAATGTTAACATCAAATTGAGCCAAAAAGTTGCGCAAGGTAGGTGCTCGTTGGGTAGGGCTATCAACTTGATTGTTTGGGTTGTCTGATGTTGGACCTCGATAGCGCGCAGGGTCTCTTAAATTTTTGAAGGTTCATGGAGAGTTAGGGTGGCCTAAGGATTTATGAGGTTAAAATCTTGGCCTAAGGTTGATTAATAATGAACTAGATTAGCTTTTGGCTTTTGTTAGTCATGCGTTTTGCTATGGCCACAGATGAGTTCCTACTTTATTAAATGCTTAGACTCATCTAATAAGCCGAAGTGATATCAGGATCCTCAAATGGGAAAGGTCTTAGCTGGGTCAAGCCATAGGCTTAGGGAAGGGTGATCACCCCAATGTTGGACTCTTAAAATCAGAGTGCTTCAAAGTATGACCCGAGTCGAGAGGCCTCCATCAACTAAAGAAGATATAAATAAGGATAAAGGAATGCATCTCTTGTGAGGAAAAAGAGATTATTGCAACGACAATGGCAGGGAGAAGACATTATTGGAATGGAAAAGAAATGATAAAGGCAACAATCATCTCAGTAGTTGATCTTTGGTGATATTTTATAAGTTCAATGCTTGATTTTTATATGTTTGGACATATCTGAACAATTGTTGTCTTACCTCTATTTCTTTGATGCATGATTTCTATGTTGATCTACCTATTTGCTCTGAGAACTCAACAATTTAAGAGATACTATATTCTTCTTTTAATTTAATTTATGGGCTTAACTTGATGGCTATGTGTCTATATGCGTCAGAACTAATGTAGTGATTTTTTTGCATATGAACTTGCATTTTGTCTCATTCCTAGATAAGAGTTGCCTTTTGTCAGAAAGATTTATTTGAGCTCATTTTTTTCTTCGTGTTTATAGTTTAATTATTATTTTCATAAGTAATGTATTTTACATATCATATGTTAAAGATAAGTAAATACATTGAAATGGATAGATCAATTGATATGCAAGTTTTTTTTTTAATAAGGCTCGCTCCTTATTTAGTTGGGATATAAGTTGAAAGAAATGTTTATTTAGAAGCTTACTCAAATCTTTTTCCACATTTTCATGTCTCTATTTATTTATGTGGTTGTTTTAATGTAGTGGTATGTTTCAGTTGAGTAAAACATAAATGTTGGGCTTGCAACAAGTACATCCAAGTAATTAGATAACATATATATGAAATGTGGAATGAATCCATGTACAAAACTCATGAATATGAGCATTATTTGTCAATGTTTTTGAAATGTGGAATGAATCTTTTCATACAAGTAATTAGAAAACATGGATAAAAAAAAAAAAGGTTTAGGTACACTATATGAAATTATATATAAGTTGAGTTGTATGCATGCAAATATTCTTTAGTTTAAAATATATTTGTTTATTTAAATGCCTATTTAAATTTTCTTTCATATTTTCATGCCTGCATGTGTAACTCAATGCATCCTATTTGAGGTAAAGCCATAAATTCATCAAATTTATGCAAGACTAATTTTATGGATTATCATGAAATAGTTGGGCCCCATTACCCAAGCTTCATTGGTACAAGCGGATGTACAAATGAACTTGATGATTATATTGATAGACAATTGATGAGTCAAACTCTTAATATATTTCTTTAAATGTTGACACGCATTTTAAAATTCATCAAGTGCAAGACATTTTCATTGATTAATGTCTTCTGTTGATAATTTTGGTATTAAAATTAAAACTAGTGATAGAAATAAAGTTATTACTATTTTTTCTTTATAATGGCTGCCCATAGAAAGTTAGAGCCTTGATGTGTGCTTCTTGTTAATCACCTGAACTAAGAAAAATTGAAGCTTCCTATAATTGCCTCGGTGTCAATATAACCGGCACTTTGGGGGGCCATCAAATACAATATATTGTTAAAAATTAGCTAAATATACATTCAAAGTAAAACGATTGTGACTAAGTGTTATGGTAAGAGTTTTCATTGCCTCATATGAAGGTATAATTGTCCAGACAGTTAGCACATGACAATCTATGTAGTTTAATTAATGATAGTTACAAGTGAGTTGTTACATTAATCGTGAAGCTTCTTAAATACCTCTATTCTGTAACCCTTTTCTGAATATTGAAAGTAACTCGCCGCTCTGCTCCCGAGGACGTAGGCATCTTTGCCGAACCTCGTTAAATCTTTGTGTTCTTCTGGATTTGTGTCGATTCTTGTTTTTCTTCGCCCTATTTTTTCTCTACGACTAAGAAAGTAAATAAGAGTTTTCATTGCCTCATATGAAGGTATAATTGTCCAGACAGTTAGCACATGACAATCTATGTAGTTTAATTAATGATAGTTACAAGTGAGTTGTTACATTAATCGTGAAGCTTCTTAAATATAATTCAATAATCTCACATCACTTTGGAATGTGATGGCACTCATCACATATTTTAAAGATTCTTTATATGTCTCAGGGTATATTAATGACTTTCTAGTTGGATATAGACATCTTGTGTTTCTTGTCGCATGTCTCTTAAAATTTAAATATTCAGGCCTTCTTAAAATGACAGCAATGATTATTTTCCTAGTAGACTTTCCCTAAACTCGTGTCGGAAACTCTCGGCAAGTGTTAAAATTCATCAGAGCTGGGTTTGACCTTGCTTTGATTTAAATTATTCATACTCTCTTGAAAATATTCAAATATTACCAAGTTTTCATATTTAAATTTCAAATTATATTCATCTTTGGATCTTTTATTGAGTTATTATTAAAACCTGAATAGCTCTTTATGATTATATCAGTAGTTATTGAGTTAGAGTCAAAGGGATCATGTGCAAGTCTTTTAAGGATTCAAGCTTTATTTTATGAGTGTGAAGTTGAGCCATTCGGGTTTCTGCAGCTGTGGAAAAGTGCTTTGCTGAGGCACTAATGTTTGTATTTTCTAATATAGAATATATAATCCATATGCTTCATTTATGAAAAACATCAAGAAGTACCATCATTTTCAAGGTGGTCAAGAAATTCAACATAATGCTGGTTAGCCTCAAATGCATACACCATACTGAAACAAATATTGGTGGCTTATGCTTACTATATGCTATAGGTGCAAGATTGACAGCTCTAAAAAGTGCAAGTTTGATTAATGTTTCTTCCTGTTCATTTAATGGTTTATGCTTATGCAAATATAATTGAAATTTAAATGGATTCATGGATGATTTCTAGTGAGATGGTTATGATAATCCTGATTATTCCAAGTTCATATAATGTATTGACTAAGTTGAATGAATGGAGCAACACTACATTCTTTACGACATGATTAGATGCCCACGATTGATGAGCTGCTAGCAACTAGTAAGGAGTAATTGGAACCTTGTGT